AAAAAAAAAAAAAAAGAAAGAAACACCTGTGTAACTCAATAATGGAACACCTTGGTGAAAAGGCATGGGGAGGGATTTAGCTCTCCTAACAAGCATGAGAGAGCTCACGAGATGAGAGCATTGGTGAATTGGCAGTCTCTACACCTGTGGTATTAAGAGGCAGGAGATCAGCCTTATATGGGGCTGGAGAAAGTAGTCGCACGTGAGTTCATTTTATCATGGATCGCTCACTCTGTGTGTGTCGCTGGTCCTGCCTGCAGAACGCCAGCGCTGGGTCTCTCTGCTGAAGCTAAGCTCTGCTAAAGACTACTTCACTCTCAAAGACTATCTCTCCCCCCACCACCTAAAGTAAATAGCCCTCAGGCACCTAAGAGCAACTGTTCCTGAGCAAGGTAGCTTTGCAGTACAAGTCAGGAACCTAGATAAACCAGGGCCGGAGACCAACCAATCCCTGATTCTGATAAGTGGCGTCCACGAAGGGACCCCGACACCCAGTACTGAAAATACAATGGTAAACAAAGGCTGGCCAGATTCCTGAACTCAGGGCGTTTTCATTGTAGTGGAGGAGATAGATAATCTCAGGTAGTGATAAGTGCTCTGGGGAGATGTGGTAGGAAATAAGGGGGAGGTAAATTTAGTTAGAGTGGCCAGAGAAGGTACTTCTGAGAAGGGACTATTAAGGGAATGATTAAATACAAGAAGAGCAAGCCGTTGGCAGATTCGTTATTCATATCAGACTCATTTAGCTTCTGTAAGCCATTTGACTGTTATGACTCTGATGCTGAATACCTTTTGAACCGTATGTTGAACGATGGCCAAATGGCAACAGCGGCCATGAAGCATAACGAAGACTTCTTTCCGGTCCTCTGACCTTGCCTTTGCTGTCAGGGTCACCCCCACCACGCCCATTCTTCCGTCTCCAGGCACTTCTGGTCTGAGCATGCGCAAGAGAAACTTGCTAGCGGTGGGCGGGGCTCGCACTACAAAACGCAAGCGCCCCTGGCCCCCTAAGCCCCGCCCCGACCCCCGCGCCCGCTCGCGAGCGCCTGCCGTTTCTCGGGGCGGGGCGGTGGGCAGCGACGGGGCGGGGCGGCGCGCACCAGTGCGTGCGTGTGCGCGCGCCGCGGGCGGGCCAGTGAAGCCGGCGGCCCTGGCACGTGATCCGCGACCGGCTTGCTAGGTCGCTTGGTGTGTCTGTCTGTCTGTCTGTCTGTCCGTCCGTGGGTGCCATCATGGCGGACGCGGCCAGTCAGGTGCTCCTGGGCTCCGGTCTCACCATCCTGTCCCAGCCGCTCATGTACGTGAAAGTGCTCATCCAGGTACGAGTCGTCGCCGTTCCTTCCCCTCCCGGCACCCTGTTCGGTGGCCTCTGCCCGCGGCGCCTGAAGATTGGCTCCAGCCTTGCGGGCCCTTCAGTTTCCCGAGATGCTCCTCCTTCTCTGCTACTGTTTCCCTCCTTCCGGGACAACTTCCACCGTCCCGTGGCCCCTCGTGGGCCTCCCCGAGGTCTCGCCTGCCCGTCCAGCGTTGGAGGCCCTCTTCTCCCGTACCCAACTGCCACCCTACCCTTCCTTTCTGGCACCTCTGAACTTTGCTTTTTCTTCTCTGAGGTTGATCCTGGCGGATCGCCGCCTAATCCTCCCCTCTCGCCCCCTCTGAAAGTAGCATTCACCTCTCCTCGCCCCAGCTTCAAAACAACAAAAATCTCAAAGACAAGACATGAAATATTCAGTTGAAGGCAAATTTGAAATTAGAGAAGAGCCAGCATTTTATTTTTTATTCCCTTTTTCTTGTTTGCCACTGTTACTACTATTCTTCTGTTCTGAGATTTGAGCACCAGATAGCCATAGAGCACCAGATAAACACAAGGAGCTCATTCAGAAGTGATAATGAAGTGGCTGCTCAAGGCAAATTTGGGAGCACTTTCCAGCAGCAGCCCATGTGGGTTATGACAATGAAAAGCACATTTGTCTGAGCTGGAAATCAGTTAATCTGGGGAAGTTTTAGTGAGTTTAAACAGAGGTGTTAGTTTCTCCTCTACTGTAAAATATTTCTTAGATGGTATAATATTTTTATATTCACAGCCAGGTAGGCCAGATCACAGACTTAGGCAGCATTTTCAGTTGCTTTTCTAAATTTCTCTGTGTTGAGGAGGTCATTCAGTTTTTAAAAAATCTTTATTGAGTGTTGACATACTGAGTGTTGCATTGTGCCAGGGAATATAGCAGTTTGTAGAACCCCCATCCTTACTGTCTAACTTCTGTAAAAAATAAGCAGTATGTTGGGGATGGCCACATTTCTTATTCTTAGAGTTGTTGGTAATCCAAATTATTTGTTACTGAGTTGACCCACATGGATTGAGATTCCTTACGTAAAAGGCTATTGTACTAGGTAAGATAAATTATATGAACTTAGAACAGAGGCTTTCTTTGAAATGTGCCATGACATCTGAAACAGAAATGGCACATTTAGGGCCAGATAGCATCTGAGATAACAGTATTTTGCAGTACATCTAGTATAACCCACTGCTCAATATTTCTCTGGGTGACAGAGTTTTCTACTGACATTGAGAGCTCTGGCCTCAAAAACTCAAATATCCTTAATTCTGATTTCACAACATCTTTGTGTAGCTAAGTATCTCAGGTTTTGGTGAAATTCCGAGATACTGTGTTTGAAAAATAGTTGCGTGGTAGCACTTTCAGGGAGCTCAGACAAGAGTTATTTAATAGGACAAATTAAGAATCACAGCAATAGAGTGAAAACTATGTCCTACAGAGTTTATTCTCTCAAATATTCCTTTATCATTAATAAACCTGAACAAAGTATATAACAAAGATGGTAATCATCAACTTTACAAAATGCCCTTCATTACATTATTGATGACATTCTGTTGATTTAACATGAACTTCTTGTTATTCCTTACGTGACTTATCCAGCTATATCTGCCTTTGCCTTTTGAGTATTTTGCCTAGCTAGCCATATAATGCAGTTGATGCTGCTTAGTGTCAGTCTTCTCATTTTGTTCAAATATAAAAAAATGTTCGAGGTTTTCTTTAGAAAATATTTTTGAGCCTTTTTAGAACTATGGTTTTCGTAACACAAAAGTTCCCTTATGTTGTTTTCAGTTTGGTACATGTACTAGTCTGTCTCTGCCTTATGGTTGGAGTTTATTGAACCCAGTGTTATCAGTTTACAGAACAAAAAGCTGACAAAGAGGATACTTCATCACCTTGGAAAACTTAACTGCATTTGTACTTACATTAAAAATTATAACCGGCTCGGCGCCTATAGCTCAAC